TACGTTTTTAAAGAATTGTTATTGAAAAAAGAAATATATATATATATATATATATTTTTTCTTTAAAATGATTATTAGAAAAAGATAACGTTTTTTAAGAAAAATATTTAAAAAAATAAAACATATAATATTTTTTATAAAAATTATGATAAAAAATAATATTTTTTAGTAATAATAAAAAAATTACAGGGTAATAAATAATAATAATAATAATAATAATATATTTATATTTAATTAAATAAACTAAGTAAAATGAAATTAGTATAAAAAGAAAAGACAAGAAAAAGACAAAAACACAAAAATGAAATTAAAAAAAGAATGATTACATAAGGAGATAGGGGTGACATTAGCAAATGATAGGGGTGCCATTAGCTACCCCCATCAAAAAACAGGTCCCGGTTTGAGCGGGGCCGGTAAGGCCTCACCGATCCCGGGCCTCAACAGTATCGGGAAGCCCGATCAAGCATTCTCATAGTCGGTTATGGTTAGTCGGTACCGAACAAAAAACATACTTTTTTTAAATTTTTGTTTAATGATAAATTTTTTAATTCATTATAAAATTTGTAGTTGGATGGGTCAAATACACTTTAAAAATACGACTTGAAGTCACAATATAACGAGAGAGCGAGAATTGTGAATGTTTTTTTTACGTTTTGTAATTTTATATGTAAATCTTTCAACCATGACACTTATATATAGGGTTTAGAAGGTAAAAAAGACCAAAAATATGTCATATAATGGCTATATAAAAAACGGCTACTTTTTAATAACCAGGCTGGGCCGGGCCGGTCCCTCGTAACCCTCCAAAACCATAACCGGTCGACGGTCCTATAACTGGTTCCGGGAGGGAACAGACTTTTGCCGATCCCAGTTCCAGTCCTCCGGCGGTCCAGGATCGGTTTTTTTCTTATAAGAAGTAAATCAACATTTTATTTGTCTCTTATTATTCTTCAAACTTTCAACAACGATGTTTCTTAATCGATTAACGTAATTGATCATTATATTTTATAAATAGAATAAATATTTATTTAAATAATTACGATGAGTTGGCATCCCATTTTCACATTTCCACTAAATAGAGTACCAAAATTAGATTTTACTCTTAACAAAACCGAAAGTTGGAAAAAGACGAAATTAACCCTCGACCAATAATCACCCCAGAGTGTTTTCCGGCATATATCCGGGAAAACCAGAGGAGCTGAACGCCGGAAAACCCGTCGGTCTCTTCCTATTACTATCGGTTTCCCTCTCCTGTCTTCACCATTTCTATGTCGTTTGGTCTCTGATTTTTCCTTTCCATCCATCACCTTCCTTCGCCGTGTGTTTTTCTTCACGCGGCTTCGGGTGGTGATAATTTCTTCACTCTCCCTTCCGCCGTACTCCTCCGCCATACACTCGCCGGAGACCTTTCTATACCCACCCCCACCGATCATCTCTTTCCAAATCAATCAGCATCAAACCGCCATGAATATACTACTGTTCTTCTCTTTATTCCTCTTACTTTCTTCTCCGACATGTTTGGCCCAAACCGACGACGGCGGTGACGGTGGCGGAGATGACAACCAGCAGATAACTCCACCGAAAGAAATGAACACCTGTAATGGCGTCTTTTTGCAGTATACTTTTGATTCTCGTGAAAAAGAGTTTCCCCATTTGAAAAACGTGACTGCTCAGTCGTGGGCTTTTAAGTCTGAGCTGATCGCCATTAATGCCGGCACCACCGAGGTGAAAGCATGGAAGGCGCTTATTGGGTTTCATCATGATGAAGTGATTGTCTCGACGGAAGGTGGGTCGATTCTTAATGGTGACAGTTTTCCGTTTAAGGTGGATAAGAATGGAACGTATGTGACTGGTTATCCTCAGGCGGATCTAAAGACGGCGATTGATACCGCCGGTGATATAAATCAGATGGCGGCGAAGGTTAAGTTTAAGGGTACTTTGTTTGGAGGGAAGGTTGGAAATGCTCCCATGCCTAAGAAGCTTAAGCTCCAAAACGATGGATTCAAATGCCCTGCACCCACCAAAAAACGTAAGTACACACTGTAACCTAATTCCTGTCGTTTACATTCAAATCTCACAGATTTCTCCATTGTTGTTGTTGTTGTTGATGTTGATGATGATCATTCTTCAGAGAAGACCATGTACGTATGCTGCAAAAAAGATCCGAAATTCAAGGTCAAAAAGAAGAAAACCAAATTCTACCCACGTCAGGAAGGAGCGGTCTCTTTCACATACGACGTCGTGCAAGCCACCGAAGGCAATTACCTGGCTCAAGTAACCATCGAAAACAATCACCCACTCAGCCGTCTCGATAAATGGAACTTAACCTTCGAATGGATGCGAAACGAGTTCATCTACGACATGCGAGGTGCTTACACTCGCAAAAAAGACCTGTCTGAATGCCTATTCAGCCCTGCCGGCCAATACTATAAAGACATGGATTTCTCCAAAGTCGTCAACTGCGAAAAGAGACCAGTCATCTCCGACCTCCCACCAACCCTAAAAAACGATAAGAAGATCGGAAAGTTCCCGTATTGTTGCCGGAACGGAAGCATCTTGCCCAAAATCATGAACGAAACTGAGTCGAAAGCCATGTTTCAGATGACTGTTTTTAAACTCCCACCTGATCTTAATCGGACCTCTTTCTACCCACCACAAAACTGGAAGATCGAAGGTTACGTTAGCCCACATTTCAAATGCTCACAGCCCATTAGAGTCGACCCGTCGGAGTTTCCCGACCCGAAAGGAACCGACGCTGCCATCTACGCCATGGCGAGTTATCAAGTTGTTTGTAATATAACAAAACCTAAACCTCAACAAGCTAAATGTTGTGTGTCTTTTTCGGCTTACTACACTGATTCTGTAGTGCCATGCAACACGTGTGCATGTGGGTGTGAAGATGAAGATACGACCAAATGTAACCCTAAAGCTCGAGCACTGCCGTTGCCGGCGGAGGCGTTGCTGGTTCCGTTTCATAATCGGACTAAAAAGGCAAGAGCTTGGGCTAAATTGAAACATATTGATCTTCCAAGAAAGCTTCCATGTCCAGATAACTGTGCCGTTAGTTTGAATTGGCATCTTGATAGTGATTTCAAGACTGGATGGACGGCGAGATTGACGATTTTTAACTGGGGGAGCCACCCATTTGAGGACTGGTTCGCCGGACTTCAGTTCAAGAAAGCGTTTAGGGGTTTTGAAAATGTGTATTCTTTTAATGGAACGAAGCTTCCGAAAGTGGGTCGTCATGGGACCATTTTCATGCAGGGTTTGCCGGGGTTGAATTACTTGATTCCGATCGATAATGGCAGACACGGGGAGATTCCGGTGCCCGGAAAACAGCAATCGGTGCTTTCCTTTCATAAGAAGGAAACCCCGGATATAAAAGTGGTGAAGGGAGATGGGTTTCCAACGAAGGTGATATTCAATGGGGAAGAATGTGCTTTGCCTAAGAGATTGCCCAAGAAGAATGGAAGTTGCCGGTTAACCGGTGCCGGAATCTTGTCGGCGGTTGTTGTTGCGTTTTTGACGTTTGTTGTCATTAGTTTTAATTAACTAATTAGGGTGGGGGTTTATGGTAGTTTTATTGTTGTTGTAATTACCATTTTGCATAAACATGTGTTTATTGCCGATGTTGCATTAATTATAGTTCTTTTTGTAGAACTATAATATCCAAGATTATTTAGTAGGTGATTATCCAAGAAAATCTTGTAATTAATCAAGTTTATTTATATCAAATCCGTACAATTTTTTACAGTTCTGTAATGTTGAGGATGAACGATGTTTTCTGCAAAAGGGTTTGTAACCGTTAACTTCGATCCAATAAAATGTCATTTAAGTTGATTCCGTACAATAAATGATTTTTTCGAAATTCAATGAATTAGACTTTGAAGTAACGATTTTCAGATACGTTCTAGTTTCTAGATAGGCATCATGAAGACATTATTAATTAAAATATAATGGTATTCGCACAATGCAACGAGATATATCTCGATTTTAATGTTTTGTTTTATTTTTTTGGTCTCTGTCGATATTATAATATGAATTTATGTGATTTTGAGCAAGCAATAATGTGTTATTTAAAAATATAAATTTGTAAATATCATAAAAATTAAAAATATATATAAAAGTTCTTATTTTTTGTGTAATTTCTTTAATTCAATTTTTTTTTACAATCTAATTTTGGTTTAGTGACGAAGTAATTTATTTTTGGTTTAATAATATAACTTTTATAAAGATAATAACTAATTATTCTGTTAGAACTCAATAATTATTCTAATTATATTTTAGATATATGAGAATTCTATCTTGTATTTGATTATATTTACTTACAGTTAGTTATATGAATTCAAATATGAAACTTAATAAGTTGTACTTATATAAAATTTACTTGTAATCTTGAATTTTTAAGTAATATGCATCAATAAACAGTATTTCATATATAAAAGATGGTTTATAAGAGTTTTGTCAAATGCTTTATAATTTAGTATAGATAGCTATAAAGTTGATGTACATAAATATTATAATAATTCGGTTATATTTCAAATACAAGTTAATGCCTTTGCAATAATTTCTAAATAAACATTAAATTTTGTGGATTTAATAATAATTTGTCAAAACCCAATTCTAATTTAATAACGGGTAGTTCGTGTGGTTTGTTTAAAAAACCAAAAATAAATTAAACATTTGATAAAAAAAATTCAAAAACCATTTTTTATATATGAAGTATTATTTATTAATGTACGTTACTTAAATTCAAGATTGCAAGTAAATTATATATAAGTACAACTTATTAAAACTCAATTTTGAAATTCGTTTAACTAACTGTAGATAAATATAATCAAATACAGGATAAACACATCTCATTTTAATTATAAAAAATCTAAAATATAATTAAGATAATTATTGACTTCTAACAAAATACTTAATTATTATTTTTATAAAAAGTTATGTTATTAAACTAAATTAAACTATAATAGGAAAATTGAAATAAAAAACTTTATAAAAAATGAGATTTTTTAAATAGTTAATTTGATACTAATATCGATTTATTTTTTTTAAAATTTTTACGATATCTTCAAATTTATATTTTTTTCAAAACAAACAATCTTTTATTTAGATTTCAGACTTCAGCACCCCATCTTAATAATCAGAAGTGAAATAATATTTGAAACTTTAACACCTCTTAAAAAATATTCTAAGAGCAACCTTGATCAGATTTTTCCCTTGACCCAATACAGCTGCATAAAACCCAGTACGAGATTTGTTATAACAGAATCGAAACGAAATTGAATCAGTATAGAAATAATTTTCATAATGAAAATTTTGAAAGTACGTTATCCAAAATAGAAATGAAATTGGGTTGATGGGATGAAAACTAGAAGTTTTAATAGTACGTTACCCAAAATATAAATACATCAAATTAAAGTACGTTACTTTTTCATACAATTTACCAGATATATATATATATATATCTGATTAGAATCTTTGTTACATATCTTTTTGGTGGTGTTAAAGAAAAGCATAACACCCTAAACACAAAAGTTGTCCTTATGCTTTGGACTTCAATTCAAGAAACCACATTTACAAGAAAAGAAAAGATTCACCTTCATTTTTTTCCCCCTACAAATACCCCCATGGACTTACCTTAGTCTTCCCATAATTTACATTCCTATTTTACCCTTCTGAATCTTGGTTTTGCAATGAAGACAACAAGCCATCACAAGACAACAATGGTGGTGGTTCTAGGGCTTTTTAGTCTTTTCCTTATGATTCAAGATGGCCATGCATACCAATTCAAGGTTGGAGGTTCAGGTGACTGGAGCCTTGCATCTTGTAATTCATATGATCAATGGGCACACCAAAGCCGGTTTCAAATCGGAGACACCGTCCGTAAGTTTTATGCTTTTCCGGGTCTTTTTTAAAAAAAGATTTAAAGGAGTTTCACATATTATACAGTACAGAGTACAGTACTGTACTGTACTGATCCTGGTCCACCAAAGCAGACGATGTAATCTTGCTGGTTGATTCAGGACAGTATAACAAAATCAGCTTTATATGATGCAAAAATATGTCTAAATATCATAAATATACTGTTTTATAAGATCAAATAATTGTGTGTTCCATGTAAAGTATTACAATAAGTTGATAGGACGTTGCCAGCATCCTAAAAGCTGATTTCGTTGTAGCGAGAGTAACTCCTTTGAGTTCGATCTTTTCCATCACGCAAAATTTTGATTATCGAAAGCCACTTTTCGATGACGTTTTGGTGTTTATATGTAGTGTTCAACTACGAGGCGAACAAGGACTCGTTGGTCCAAGTAAGCGAAACCGACTACAAAAATTGCAGCACGGCATCACCGATTGCAAAATACAGTGATGGTCATACCGCAGTCAAGTTAACCCAATCCGGGCCTCATTTCTTCATCAGCGGAAATGTAGATCACTGCAAAAACAACGAAAAAGTGATGATTGTCGTAATGGCAGACCGCAGCAACCGCTCCTCGGCTGCTCCATCTTCACCACCATCTGCTGCTCCGTCGCCACCTCCATCCGCCACTCCATCACCACCTCCCGCCAGCGAAGACTATCCATCTCCTCCTCCGGCTCCATCTACACCAGAAACTGACCTGACTCCAGCTCCGGGTCCTTCAGACGAAAACCATCCACCTCCGACTCCAAATGGCGCTTCGTTAACCGTCACAAATTTCCTTTGTTCGGTTGGAGCTTTTGGTGGGTTCTCCGTTCTTTTCGGGTTTTGAACGTGTTGTGTTTATTGATCGAGAACGATTCTGTCAAATAAGTTCACTGTAATTTTATCGTGTTGAGTATGAACAATATTTGTATATGAACAAAATCAAGAAAACGAGCAAATATCACGAAACCCATCTAGCATAGAGATGGTCAAAAACCAGTCCCTGAGCAAATCGGTCCAAGTCCTTGATTTCCTTTTCGTAACCGGTCCCGGTCTCGATCGAAAACTTATGGCTCAGTCTCCTTTAACCATAACCGGTCCTTAGAAATCGGTCCAAAATTTTTGTTCGAAAAAATAAGTTTGAACATATAAAAAATCTTGTTTTTTTAATAACATCTGATTGAAATACACTTTAATTTTTTTTTAATTCTTTTTTACAAAACATATTGTGCATGTTTTTATAATTGCGATTTTTTAAACTTAATACCGAAACACGTAAAAAAAAGAAAAATTTCCAAAAAAAACTTGGAAAACTTAAATTAAACTTAGAAGGGTTTTTGTTAAAACCCTTGATATATAATTTATAAAAACTTATTCTTTTAAAAAAATCAGGTCTATGTATAACCGGTTACAGACCATCGGGACAGTCCTGGTCCTATGTGGATCCTGGGCCAGGCCGGGCCCACATTGAGATTCTCGCGAAACGCAAAACAACCACAAACAATCATCGTTCTAACAACTATTAATTTGTTTAGTAAGTACATAGACAAAGAAAGATCGTTATATAAAACGGATAAGATAGAAAAAACTCTGTGTCTTAATTAACGGTCAGTGGAGCTAGTTTCTTACAAAATCTAGATCACGGGCTGACGGCTAATGCCTTTGTACTCGATTACTTAGGTTATACTGGCTAAATTAGGTTCCATATTCAACGGGAAAGTTAGTAATCTTCACTAGAAATGGCTTTAAAACTGATTCTTTTCCGGGCTTCGACCTAATAGTTCTTCCCCAGTTCGACCTTTTTCGCCAGTTTAAACGTGTTGTAGAGAATGGAATCCAATATTCCGGCAACCTGATAGCAATACACAAGAAAAACGAAGCAAATCGATGGTAAAATAGCGAAGTCCTTTTTCCAGCTAGTAGAAATTTTAAACACTGCAACAAAATGGGTTTTTTAGAACGCCCGGTGGTTTATGGGTGTTCTAATAGGGTGTGTTTGGTTGTACACTGGACAAGACAAAACAAAACCTTGTTTCACGTTTGACGGAACTTTTATGTGGAACAGAAAGAAACAAAGTGGAAGACGCATGTTCCACCTCCACCCCATGGAACATGGTGGAACAAACCTATATTTTACCAATATAACCTCAAAATAAAACTTAATTTCAGTCTAAAACATTAAATACGTCTTTTTCTTTACATTTTACTCATTTTTTAAATTTTATTCATTTAAACGGTTTTTATATTTCGGTTAATTTATGTAACTTTTTAAATATTAATAATAAAATAATAATATAGAAAAGATATAAAATAAACATTGCAAACTACATAAACTTTTTTTTTATTTTAGCGTCATTTTAATCGTTTTGAAAAAACTTTCTAATAATATATTTTATTACAAAAAAATATTTAATTTATTATAATTTAATAAATTACATAAAATTAATCAAAAGATATAAGCAACTCATTTATCTGTTCTGTCATGTCCAGTTCCGTCTTGCCAAACCCTGAACAGATGTTCTGTCTTGTCCTATCTTATCCTGTCTAGAAATCAAATGCACCCATAGAGTATTTACGAGGCTTTTAAGTGTTTTAAGACCAACAACTATGTGTAACAAGTTCCATCAACGAATTTGGGTAATCAAACAAGACACAAGATATAAATCCTCTTATTAGCTTTTTTTTTATAGGACATTTTTCAAAAGTGTCATATAAAAAGGCAAATAAGACAATTTTTCTTGTGTCTTATTAGATTGTCATAACTTCGTCATAACTTATCGTAACGTTACTGTATATGACTTAAAAGTTGTTGGTTTTATAAACTTAATAACCTATTAAGTACTCTATTAAGTCGCCCACCGGACATCCTAAATAAGCCATCTTATTGTATGGACACGTAGGAAGTACGACACGCACAGAGAACAAGTGAAAGACGTACTGTGAACACACCACCGATGATGGCACAGAGGTTGGTGATGAAGTGAGAAAATGACTTCGGGTTTTCCGTGATCATAACCTAAAGCCATAATAAAGATGGGAATTAAAATCCGGCGACAAGCATTATGAAAAGACAGGTAAAATGGACTTCAAATTTAAACCAAACGAACCCAGTATATCCCGCCCTGGCGTGGGGTGGTAAGATGTACACAGATCTGACATCTACCCTAAAGAGTAGAGCGATTGTTTACAATACACTACAAAAAAAAATCGGATTCATAGGACACTAAAAATATCCGAGTGTTCTAATAGGCTACTTTGTGGGGCTTAAATTTATAGAACCAAACATTTATTTGTCCTACCTAAAGTTGTTGTAATAAGTTTATATGACGTTTTTGGACGCCTTAAAAAGCTTTTTAGGAAACAAAGTGTCATATTAGCCTTTTATAGGACAATGTGAAAAGTTTCTTGTAAAAGGGGCGCCTATAAGAAGATGTGTTCAAATGACACTTTTTAAAAGGATCCTATAAAAGGGCTAATACGACATTTTGTTTCAAAAGTGTCTTAAAAAGCTTGTTAAGACGCCCAAAAGCGTCCTATAAACTTATTACTAACACTTTTTAGATAGGGTACACAAATGTTTGAACCTATAAAGTAGTCTATTAAAATACCTAAACACTTTTGGTGTCCTATAAACTCGATTTTGTTGTAGTGATAAGATCCTGGGTGTGATTCAGATTTCAAACCTGCAACGGTGAAAACTCGAGATGGAACTTTGCGGCTGGGATGGAATGAGCTTGTATCAGACTAGTATGTGCTGTGTACTCGTAATCCTCGATCAATTGATTAGACAAACCCAAAACCTCCGTCTTCACGACTTGAATATAATGTTCTATCTGCAATTTACATTTGGTGAGACTTGAACCCTTGACCTACAGAGAGATTGGGATCTACCAGTTATCCGGGTACTGCTGGGCTAATGACCCTTTGGTACTTGATAACTTAGAGACTACACCAAAATTGGTTTTATAGGACCGCTAAAATGTTTATAAGTCCTAATAAAATACTTTATAGGACTGAAGTTTATAGGACTAAACTGAACAACATCCTATTTAAAAGTGTTACAATAGTTTTTAGGACACATTTAAAATAAAGTGTCCTATTAGCTATTTTATATGACACTATTAGAAAAATGTGTCCAATATTTATAGGGCACTTCTCAAAAGTGTCCTATTAAGTAGTTGATACGACACTTTATTTTAAAAGCATCATAAAAAAGTTGTTAAAACGTCCAAAAGTGTCCTATAAACCTATTGTAACACTTGAAAATAGAACGCTTTATAGTTGGTCCTATAAACCTAAGTCCTATAAAGTATTCTATTAGAACGCTTAGACATTATAGGCGCCCGATAAACCCAATTTTGTAGTAGTGAGAGGTGTGTAAATGTACACGAACATGAAAAGGTTTTCGGGAATTAGTATTTGAGAGCTTACTGTAACGTTTGCATCAGATTCTGGCTTGGTCGTGTATGTTTTGCCATCCAACCGGTTACGGCCTCCACCAAGGTAAGGTACTAACCGCTTCATATCACTCATCATCATTGGAGTAATTGTCGAACCAAAAGAGAAGGTCGAAATCACATGCGACATGTTCATCTGTGAAGCATCAAATGAGTGGGATCCTGAACTCGCTGAGACAATAAGGTTTCCGGGAACCTGTGTAGTAGATGACAACCAAAGATTAAACCAAACAAATCAAGTAAATCTTACGCCGACGGCAAGGTGGGGGGGGGGGGGGAGGGGGAGGATGTACGAAGACCTTGCACTGCAACAAAATCGGCATTTATAGGACACCAAATATGTCCAAGGGGATGTTCGGTTGGTTTTTCCATCAAGTTCTGTATATATAAAGCTGTGTGTGTGGATGTGAGGATTAATCTCTCTGTATAGATTGGGAATATTTTTGTTTGCGAGGGTTTTGTATAGTTCGGAGGGGGTAGGTTTTGGAAAAAACTTGGCTTTTTGCATAAGTTCCCCCCCCCCCCCACCCGGAAAGCTTACTGAAGAAGTCACTTTCTATATCAATAAGCCATTACCAAACAGTCATGAGTAGTTGACTGAAAAAGGTGTGAGTCCCTTTAAGCTCATTAAGTTGCTAACAAACAGGCCCTAGCCCTAAATGTCCTAATAGAAACCACAAGGGTGGTGCCCGATTGGTTTGAGCTTGGGCTCCAAAGATCAAAAGTGCCTGGAGGTCCTGGTTCGAATCCAAGGAGGAATAAAAATCCCCTCGTGGCCACGGAGGTTCAAATGTGGTGACTCCTGGATACCCGCGAGGCGGGTGGTCATCTTGGAATTAGTTGGCTCACATAGCGGGTTGGATATCCAGGTTAATTAAAAAAAAAAGTCCTAATAAACTGATTTACAGATTTTTAATTTACGGGACCAAACAATTATGGGTCCTATATAAAGGTGTTGCAATAAGATGTTGGAACATATTTGGACATCCTAACAAGTTTCTTCAATCGCTTTTTAAAAAAGTGTCATATTAACTTTCTTATAATTTTTTACAAGACATTCTAAGAGGTGTCTTAATATCAGGGGCGGACCTAGGATGGTGCATACGGTGGCGTAGGCGACGGCTTCGTTCCTTCGTCTTAATGTCAAATTTTTTAGGGTTGTTAAAGGTGCCACTGTATTATTTTGTTGGGTACAACGATATATTCCTTAAAACTAACACAAGTTTCTTTTGTAGAGTTGGTTTGCACAGTCTATCTCTCCTTCCATGTGTGGGTTCGGATACAATTGGCATCACTTTCTTAGTTTTTATCTTTTAATTCAAGATTTTTATGTTTCTTAAAATATTTGGGACTCAAACACTCGACCTCACATACAAAAAGCAAGGAACTAACCAACAGACCAATAATGATTTTGTAAAAAAAATATCCATATATCCGTTTATTATAGTCAGATGGTGCCACCACTTGAAAAAATTTCTAGGTCTACCTCTGCGTCTTATGAACATGTCTTCTTATAGGACACTTGTTTTTATATGCCATTTTTTCAAATAATGTCATAAAAAAGACAATAGAATGCTTTATTCAAAAGCATCATAAAGAACTTGTTAAAGACGCCCAAAAGCCTTCCTTTCGACTTATTAGGAAGATGCACAATTGTTTGGTCCTATAAACTTAAGTCCTGTAAGGCACATTTAGACATATTTGGCGTCCTATTTTGTTATGAAGCTACATATTGTCATGTTTATAATGACTTACCTTCTTGACCCATACAAATCCTTCGATCCTACAACCTTCATGAGGTGGTGTAGGTCTTTTCGTAATATCAACTGTCACACCAGAAGAACGTTTGGCATCGACAACAATGGATGAAGCCAAGGCATCCAATTTCTGCATGAAGGGAAACGTTAGCCAAAGTTGGATGAGCTCTTTAGTAAAGAACCCTTCAAGTATTACGGATTCGAAAAGGGCATGTTTCCCCAAAACAAAGATCGAGAGGAGTTTCAGTTTTCTTACAAGAACCAAGCTATCAGTATCTCGGTCTCCATAATATGTTTCATGAATGTGGATTCCATGGGCATCACTGATTCAAGAAAACACAAGGGAACCATAAAGCAATTCAAAGAGAAAACTCAAACTTAAAATCTGATTGAAAAGAGCATTAGTTGATTCAACAAATGCATTTGACGAAAAATCACAACAACACAATCAGCTTTACAGGACGCCAAATATGTTTAAATGTCACACAACAAAATTGAGTTTATAGGATGCCTAAATTGTTGAAGTGTCCTACTAGAGAGCTGATAGAACTTAAGTCTATAGGACCAAAAATAAAGTTTCCTATCTAAAAGCGTTACTATAAGTTTATAGGACGCTTTTGGGCGTTGTAACTAGTTTTTTAGGACTTCTTTAAACTAAATTGTCGTATTAGCTTTATAGGACACTATTTGAAAAAATGTGCTATAAACACAAGGGTTTTTCAAATAGCGTCCTCTAAAATAGCTAATACGACACTTTATTTCAAAAAGATCCTAAAAAACTTCTTACGATAGCATAAAGCATCCTATAAACTTACTGTTACCTTTTAGATAGGACGCTATGTTTTTTGGTTCTATAAACTTAAGTCCTATAAGGCACTCTATTAGGACAATTAAACACTTCAGGCAGCCTATAAACCCGATTTTGTTGTAGTGTGTCCTAATTGACTGCTTTATATGACTTACATTTATCGGACCAAACAATTGTGCATCTTATGGAAATGTGTTACAATAAGCTGTTAGTATGCTTTTGGCGTCTTAACAATTTTTTATCGACACTATTGAAATAAAATGTCCTATTAGCTCTTTAGGAACACTTCTTTTATATGAAGCATGATTTTGTAACACTTTTCAAATAATGTCATAAAAAAATAATACGACACCATATTTCAAAAGTGTCCTTAAAAACTTGTTAGCACCCAAAAGATATCCTATCAACTTACTATAACACCTTTACATAGGACAAAAGTGTCCTATAAAGTAGTCTATTAGAGAATTTAGATATATTTGACGTCCTATAAAGTAGATTGTGATGTTGTGAGTCTTTTCAAAAGCAATACAACAAAATTGGGCTTATATGACGCCTAATATGTGTAAGTGTCCAAATAGAATACTTCATAGGACTCATTTATATAAGATCCAACAATAAAGCGTCCTACCTAAAAGTGTCACAATATGTTGAAAAAGTGTCACAATATGTCCGTATTAGCTATTTTATAGCTAATACGACACTTCTCAAAAGGGTCCCATAAAATAGCTACTACGACACTTTATTTTAAAAATGTCCTAAAAGAACTTGTAAAAATGCCTAAAAGTGTCTTATAAATAGACGAGTTTTTATAGGACACTTCTCAAAAGGGTCCTATAAAATAGCTAATACGACACTTTATTTTAAAAATCTCCCGAAAAACTTGTAAAAACGCCTAAAAGCGTCCTATAAACCTATTCTAACACTTTTACATAGAATGCTTTATTGTTTGGTCCTATAAAATATTCTATTAGGACGCTTAGACATGTTAGGCGTCCTATAAACAGAATTTTGTCGTAGTGAAGCATCGGTCCAAGATAAACTAATTATAAACAAGTTGGAACTTATATATCTAGAAAGATGTGACGAACAGCTACTTACTGAACATCCGTGCCCTTACGATAGATGCGAATAGATGGATAACCTTGTATGTGATGCCTGAAAACCAGTAGAAAATGAGTAAACCACGATAAATGGAGAAAGCATAGAACACAACAAAATCAAACTGATAACTTTTCCAAGTGTTTGATATCCCATTGCTGGGTTTTTAAGCAGACGACATGAAATGATGAAATGAATGGTCAACTAGTAGAAAAGAATGTTAAACAATTACCTTTTACACAGATCAGGTTCTTTCGTGCAGTCAACACTTCCGACAATGATTCGCCCATCATGCTCTGGATCATATCTAGTGATGCAACGGTGAGTCAGTAGCTAATAAAAAGAACTACATATTATTCACTGAATTGAACTTTGTTTTGAGAAGTACAAGCAGAAGGTGAATTAAACCTCTGTCTCATAACTTTGGCCGCTTTCTCCCATGAGGGTTTCTGACATAAATAAGCAGAATAGAGAACAAGTGTCAGAAAATTCAGTATGTTGTAGAAGAGCTCTTTCATCTTATAGAAATGCACGAGATGGGTAGTCTACATAAATCAGAAGTGAGAAACTTGAAACATATAATACATAATGAACGAACCATTTGAAGTGTGCACCAAAGGACACAGTCAAACAGACTGCTTTTCACGAGTGCTTAAAAAATTCAATATGTTAAATTAGCATCGTTGAGAAAGAGCATTCTGTCAGCAGAAAAGAAAAACGTTTTTTTTAAGAATGGCCAATAAGGAAAAAAGAACGATGAAACAGAACAAAGAATACATTTTTTCATGTCTTTGATCAAATGGGGGTGCGAAAAATCAGTTGACAATCTTCAGGAAATTATATACTCCCTCCATCCCAAAATAAATCTCCACAATGAAAATGGCACACAACTTTGGAAATGTGTAACTATTTCACTCTTTAATTAACTAAATGACAATTTTACCCTTATTAATGGAGGGAGTAATGAATTTCTCCATCTCATAATTAAGGGTAGAATTGGAAAGAAGACTTACACTTCTAAAATAGAAATGTGGACACTTATTTTGTAACGGAGGGTGCAGTCAAGAGGAGGAATACCCATACCAGGCGGTTACTCCAGTGGCACCAGGGAGCATAAAAATTTACAACCACAATTGGATGCCTGAAATTGATCCAAACAGGAAGTGCTAAACATCAAGAAACATATGCAATAGTCTTGAGGGTCGTTTTTCAGAGCGATCAAAGCAAGAGCATGGATTGGTCAAGTATGAGAGTGGTTAATTCACTTACATATGAGTAATTCTATCAAAATTACGCTCATTTAGTCTGACAGATCCTTCACCATATCCCTCATCAACCTTGTCATCATGCTTAACCGTATGAGTAACTGGCTCATAATCAAACTCGAAGCCATTTGTTTGTAAATGCTCACTGATTGAGTACTTGCGAACTGTTTTTGTTATGTTTAACCTGTACTGCAGATAAGGGGAGCACAATTTTAGGCCTTGTATAAGAGTTGATTAGGAAAGAGTTAACTAAGATCCAAAAAAACACGATTATAACATGCACATGTGCATAGAAACCAAGAAACAACTTCAGTTACTTAAATGCACATGTGCATATTGTGCAGATGAATGGTTACCACTTACTAAGGTGTTCCTCAGTTTTTCATTTTTTTGCATTTTTCCCTGAACCTGATCCTATCTATCTATCTTGTAAAGTGGAGGTGCTCTTGTTTGAACCTCCACCTATATATATATATATATATATATATATATATATGTGTGTGTGTGTGTGTGTGTGTGTGTGTGTAGGGGTTGTTTAATTTACAACCCCTTTAAAACTTACAACCCTTACAACCAAAATCTTAACCATTCTTTCATGATTGACGGTTACAATAGATGCGGGCTCAATATTTTCAATTAAAAAAACAATAAAAAACAAAATAACCGCTTATCATTAATCATAGGCAGTCTGATGCAACTGCTTACAGAAAACTATGGCACATCTAACACAATCTTTTAACTCGTCCAAATGATAAGTGTCTAGTGCATGCATATAGAAAAGAGGGAGATAGAAGATTAACAATAAAAGGAGGCATTGCATGCGAGCAGGACGCCTAGAAGAAATTGAGTTAAGATCATTGGAACTCACCGTTCCCACGACATCACTCACATCCACGGATGCAAACTCGCATGATAAAACTGGGAAACTGCATTAAAAAATTTAACAAGTGTTAGCCACAAAACCAAACAAAATGCCATTGGTTCTAATGATTGAAGAGTGGTTATAGTCTAATCAACTTCTAATGATGAACGTGAAACCAATAAATGCAATTAATGGAGTTAATTGACAACAAACTATGATCCCTTGGGTGGCCTCGCATGAAGGGGGAAGTTGCATAGAAAGTGAACACTCACATTTTCAGTTAATGATTCATGCTTTTGAAATCAAGATTTTAGTGTCCATACTTCTATTTTTGCAACGTTTTAGGATCCACACTTTAATTTTGCAATATTTTACGGTTTATATTTTTCATATATTATATTTGTTACATCAGCAATTAAGATGCATTTGGACTTAAATAGTTGTTTTTAAAAGTGTGGCTAAAAAGAGAAAAGGGGTCTAAGGTTCCCAGCAAAAGACTATCCATTGAATCTGCCGCAATAAAATAACTAGCTTTTATGAACTGAGTTTGCTTGGCAAACCTGATTAACAAGTCATTTGACCTGCTAATGATGTTAAAGTCAATGGAGCATACCTGATGTTAAAGTCGACGCGTAAGGAGTCGTCAATAGAGCTTTTATCAATTACGATAGCTGATGAGGTACTGATGGCCAGAAAGTTTTGTAACTCCTGCAATATGAAGTCGTGATTTAGTGATGTACAAATACATGTCCGTAACAGTTCATTTCAATGGCATGTTGTAACAACTAGTCCCACATGGATGGAAAATGGGATTGTGAGCTTCTTATAAGCCTCAAGTTGTGGGTTATTAATAACTTCCACCATGGTTTTAAGTTGGATTTGAAGTTATTGGGCACCCTTGTGCCACAACGTATAAACCAATTAGTGAATGAAAATCTTGGGTAAAAAGAGTTGAGAAAATGTATGAAAAGACATAAAAGCACTTGTGAAGTTCCAATCTCCCAGAATCATGTTTCAATAAGAAAACATATGGAAAATGATGCCACAACCAGAATGAATATAGCATACATCTAGGCATGAAATCTAAAGAACTTGAAAAAAGGGGGAGATTCTTACCATTCCAAACAAAAAAATCATGGAAATAGCTGCTATGATGGAAATTCCAGCACCTGATAGTGATGCCTCGGTCAAATCTCTTGGAGTTTTTCTGGGAAAAAGAGAAAAAAGGTAGAATGATCAAAATCAAGTAGAAAAAGGTGAAAATGTTGTCAATTTGTCCATTGCATACCCCTGAAATGGGCACCCTGAAAGTTAACCACGAATGCGCAAAAATAACATTGAAACTCAGAAACTTCAGATGACGTTGAGCAAGTTCGATCAACCATTAGCCCAACTTGGCAGAAAAAAAGTAAAAAAATCTACATTTTTTTACCATAAGGTTCATGTATACTTCTATAAAGATGTCTAGCGTATAGAGAACACATAATGGGTTCGATTTCGTCAACCAAAGTGCTTTGCCACGACCACTTCAACTTGTGTCCATTTATTGAGAACAATTATCAAACACTTGGCAAACAACAAAAACAAGAGCAATACTGATAACCTATCTTAACAAAGCATAAACCATAACATTAACCACGATCAATAAGAGGAATATAACCAGCTTTCTTTTCCAAATTGAAGTTAAATCTTCGAAAATTAACCCCAATGGCTACCTGAAAAAATCGATAGATTTTATCCTTGCTACAGAAATCATGGTTGTGCAATTGATCTAGGAACTAGAATCTAAAAAGATCGAATCTAATCGAGATCTCCTGTTACCCAATCCAAGAAACCTTGTTCCAATCTCGTGGGAATGATCTGGGATTCGTATATTGTCTCGAAAGTGGAAGAAAAAAAATCCTTCTGCTATACGGATTCAATGCGGCATTCGTATCGGTGTTGGGTGGTGCATTTTCAGTTGATCTGACAATTTATTTGATTACACCTGAAATTCAGGGGTGCTTTGAACAGATTGAGGCTGATATTGGATTTCTATTCCTATATATAGGGGGTGGATTCCGTCCGAGCTTTTTGGATGGTTACTATTGAGTTAAATTGGGAAATTTATGAGTACGCTACCGAAATTAAGTTGTTTGATCAAGGAAATACATCAGATTCAAGAAAAACAAGAAGAACAAAGATTGATCTTTTGAATTCAATCTCTTCGTCTTTCCCTCCATATCTAACCTCAAATCCGAACTGAACCCGTATAGTTTTCTTGAATCCTAATCGAGTTACAGAATGATAATCCGAAATCGAAAAAGCAAACGAAGCTAAACAAAAGAGAAGAGCAAATCCAGAAGAACCTACGGAATTCATATTGCAGCAGCAGATAATGGAGAGAATTCTGAAGAACGCGATGAAGAGGGAAGGAGAAAACCCGGTTCTCATTTTAAACGGGTCGGACCGAAACCAAATCAACTAATTTTAATTATTAAAACATTTTTTTATAAAAAAAATAAATTAAATCGCTTTGTTTTAATTTATGTTTTGAAAATATAAATTAGAGTTTATTTACTAAATGTTTCTCTAATAAATTTTTATTAGGTCATTTTACCTTATCGAATGAACATGATAATAATTGAGAATCTGGTAAAATCGATAACAAAATCAGAGAGTATTACCCGTTAAGAAAAAAAAAAAAGACGACTTGTACCCGATAAATGAAAATATTCAATCTTACTGGCGAACACTTATTGAGGGGCTGTTTAACGGTTACTAAATAGTTTGATGTAAAATGATTAAGTAGTCATAATATAATGCAACATGAACTATAATTGTTTGGTAATTGTTTACAATGAAATTAGAGCGCTGAATGGTTAAGAGGTTGTTTACCAAATTTTTTATTCAGTCATGTATGTGTAAATTTGTTTGTCTGGATAAATAGGTGTTGTTGTTTACTTTTTTTATCTGAACAACAGTCTGAATAACATAAATGACCAATTTACCCCCCAATATTAATTATTTGAACATCAAAACAAAAAATCATAAAGAGGCCGAAGATGGGGTGTCTCATATGGGAATGAGGCGGTGCTTTAAATATGGGGTATGGGTGTCATTTTTGTGGCTGAATGTGGACAACACGCAATTTCGATCTGTGCGAATAAGCCGTAAGTAAACAACTCAAATGAGATGTGCGAATAAGCCAGATAGACCAATAAGCGTAATTAAGCCGCAAATAAGATGGACCTAGGATACAAAATCATTCAAATGAATTGAGAACGATTAAAGAGTGGCCCAAGATACAATTCGGCTTGTTGATTCATGTTATGAATATAACGGTTCAAGAACGTTTTTGCATATCTAATCAGCTTTTTAAAATAAGGAACCAAAAGTAACGCCTCTAAAAGGAAAATGTAATTTAACTCCATTAAATAATCTATTTCAGATATTTCAACGACACAGAGTCGCAACTCTTCCTGTAGAAACCTCCTTCAACTGATTCAAGTGATTCAGTCAGTAGGGAAGTCTCGTATAATCGTGTCGGGTGAGCAACAACTGCTTCGTCACATTACTTATTTAGGATGATACTAAAAATCGTTTTATCTTTCACCACGGATTCCAATTTAGACAAAAGACACAAACGGGAACTGATATGCGTTTGCAGTCAAAGTGAATACTTGATTGAGCTGATATAGGCATTTTGGACGCTGATTAATTTGTATTATTTAAATATTAATTTTATAATTCTAATACATTGAAAAAAACTTTATAATATATCTATATTATATTATAAATTATTTAACAAAAAATCTTAAAACCTATTTTTTATGTATGAAGTACTGTTTATTGATGCATATTACTTACAATTCAAGATTACAAGTAAATTGTACACAAATATAACTTATTAAAGCTTCATGCTTGAAATCATGTAATTAACTTCAGATAAACATAATCAAATAGAGGATAAACATTTTATTTTAAATATAAAAAACTAAAATATAATTAGGATAATTATTGAATTCTAACTAAATACTTAATTATTATCTTTATAAAAATTATATTATCAAACAAAAACTAAAAAAATACAGAAAAAACGAGAATTTTTAAATAGTTAGTCTGATAGTAATATCAATATTTTTATATATTTTCATTATATCTTAATATTTATATTTTATTGAAAAACAAAAACATTATCGATTTCTCAAAACCACATAAAATCGTATCATAACATTGACTAAGACAAAAAAAAATGAAACACTAAAATCGAGATGTATATTTTGTTGCATTGTGTGAGTACTCTTCTGGTAATTAAATAATATAATAAAATTAACAATTATTAAATAATATTTAATAATAAATTATGAAAAGAAAAAACTAAAGAAGCGCATCTAGTGTAGTGGTATCATAGTACCCTCCCACGGTACTGACCGGGGTTCGATTCCCCGGATGCGCATTTTTAGATTTCGTATTTTCATTTTTTTATTTAAGATTAAATTACAATTTTGACATTTTATGGGCTATTTACTAAATGCTTACCCAAATAAGTGTTTCCCGACAGAATTCAACATTATCATTTACTTATCATGTAAGATTTTAATGCACCAAAATAGTATTAAATGCAACAATTTACCCGGTAAGCGTTAACCATGATAAGAGTTATCGTTCTTATTTATTGGATAAGACTCTCGATACTTGTCTTTGCTCTTACGAGTAAAATTCTTAGTACTTACCATATTCATCCGGTAAGATAATGTTACTTGATAAGCGTTTACCTGATAACCGTTTGGTAAACGACCCCTAACAATTATTTTAAGATGGAGTATGATTTAATAAAACATTTGGAGTATTTATTATATATTTAAATTCAAAATTAAATAAAAAATATGGATCAAAATTAAAATTATTTATTGAATGCAAAATTTGAATTGAAAAAATGTTGCCACAATTCTTATAGAATAATTACTTGATAGCTTACATTCATTTTGTAACAGATTTTTATTTTAGAGAATCCAATATTGATTTATTTATTAAAATATTACATTCATATATTAAAATATTATTTCTTTTTTTTAATATTTATTTTTATTAATGGTTTCATTTAGGGTTGTAAACGAACCAAACGTTCAACGAACCTTTCGTGAACCGTTCGGCCGGAAGTTCGTTTATTTAATAAATGAACGAACACGAACAATTTTTTTTATCCTTTTAGTTAAACGAACGAACATGAACAAAAGTCTCGTTCGTTCATTTATGTTCGTTCATTTACCGTTCGTTTATATTCGTTCGTTTATATGTTAAACTTAATATATATTTTTTTATTTATTTACTTTGAATTCAAATAATATTTATTTATGTTCGTTAATGCTCGTTTAGCCCGTTCGTTTATGTTTGTTCGTTTACGTTCGTTTAGCATGTTAATGAACGAACATAAACGAACATGAACACACCTGATTTTCTAAATGAACGAACACGAACACAAAGATTTTTGTTCGTTTACTGTTCGTGTTCGGTTAAGTTAAACGAACGAACATGAACAAGCCTCCGTTCGTGTTCGTTCGGTTCGTTTACAACCCTAGTCTCACTTGGTAGTCATTTCAGAGAAACTACTAGAGATGCTCGTATAAGCAACTTTCATTCCCCTCCTCAATGTGGGATCTTACATCATCTATCTTTATCATCAGTTTCACGAACTTTTACACGAACAAGGGTATTATTGAAAAAAGATCATAAAGACGTGGATGTTAACCCGAATTATTGTGTTAACTTTATAAACTTTTTAGACCAATCACAATCCATCTTAGTATTAGGTTCTTCACTATCTAAGAATTTAATGTTAATGGTATACAAGTATTTTTTTTTGTAACTTCTATATTATTAATTGGGAGTTACAATATTAATATCCCATTATTTTCATTTTTAATATTGATCTTATGATTTTTTTTTATTTTTTAATCTTGATCTTCCATTTTTAATATTTATAAATTTGTGATTGGTGGAGGAGATCCGTTAGTAAAATTTTGTTATCGTTCAAACGATTATGGATAAACACATTGGAAAAAAACATGATAACATTGAGAAGATTAAAATTGTTTATGGTGACAGTCAGAGTTCGAGATCGGAAAGTGAAGTAAATAACCAAAGCGAGTGTCTTGGTAATTATGAACACAAATTGACATATATGACACAAATTAACATGTATACACCCATATGAACATAAATTGACATATATTAACACTTGTGATAATTATGAACACAAATTTAACATACATGTGAACACTTGTGGCAATTATGAACACAAATTGACATATATGAACACAAATTGAACATATATGTGAACACTTGTGGTAATTATGAACACAAATTGAACATATATGAACATTTTTGACAATCATGAACACAAATTGAACATATATGTGAACACTTGTGACAATTATGAACAGAATTGAACATATACGATTTCTACTGTTTGTAACCAATATCATTGAATGCACATTATCTTTTATATAAATATCCTTCAACAATTATGTTCACCTATGTTTGTGATATTACACATTTAATAAATTAAATTTATAATATGATTAATCCCAACCCCTTATTTTAAAAATCAAACGTCATGATTAGTTTATAAAATTAACACAATAATAAAGGTTAACAAATAACCCCCCCCCCCCCC